CTATGGGACGTTTCCGATATGGTATAGGCTTGTTCTTTGCTCTCCTTGGTGCTCCTTAAAGCGGTTTTACCCATCTGCCAAGGCTGCCTTTCCCTAGAGAGCAGCGAGCATCCGCTGGCAAGTCCTTCCTAGCAGCGGGGCTCCGGTACCCTCCTGGGTTGTGCTTTGGGGGACTGCTCTTACAAGCCCTTGTTTTTCTCCCACACCTTTCAAGGTCTGATTTCCCGATAATGCAATTAATATTTTATTAGCACAGCAAGACGAACTCGACGCTTTATGAAAGCAGTGACCCAGCAGGCGGCACGCACAGATGTGCTCGCACACGCAGCCATTGCACACACCGCACACGCGTGTTGGAGGCAGAGCCTGCTCCCCGGCGGCCCCTGGGTGCAGTGGGGCAGCCTGGCCCCGCTCACCCCAGCCGCTGTCTCTGTTCCCTCTCCAGGCGCTGCGGCAGCGCGGAGGAGGCTGAGCCATGGCATCGCTGCTGTGCAACGCCCGTGAGTGTCCGGCAAAGGGGAGGAGTGGTGGCTGGGCCGGGCCTGGGGGCCCAGGGTCCTGGGCGATCCTGATTTACAGCAGGTGCAAATCTGACCCTTGGTCCTCTTGGGTGGGTGGGACTCACCTCCCTGTGCCTGGGGGGCTCCCCTACCTTGCTGTGGCCGCCGGGATCAGGACTGGCAGGGCCAAGGGTGGATGTGCAGGCTCTGAAGAGTTGATGGGGAGTTACCTTCTGCCCCTCTTGTATCTTGGGGTCTGTTCTGCCTTCATCCCAAATCGAGGGCTCATGCAGGGTCCCAGGAGCTGGAGAGAGCCAGGAGCAGGGCACAGTGCCCCAGTGATGCATCCTCCTCTGCCCCCAGGCATCCAGCTTACAGAGACGCTGGAGCAGATGCAGCAAGGGACACTGATGCGCAAAGTCAAGTCCAAGAGCTGGAAGAAGCAGCGCTATTTCAAGCTGCAGGAGGACTGCATGACCATCTGGTACCAGTCCAAGAAGACAGGAAAAATTGAATCCGCCTGTGAGTACTGGCTGCTGTGTGCTACCCACAGGGCCATCAGTAGGATTCAGAGTGAACAGGGGTGTTACTGTGTGGATTCTTGGATGCATACTTGTGAGGGGTTCTGGGGCATTCAAATAAGGGTGTGTGTGTGTGTGTGTGTGTGTGTGTAGGCCGTCCTCACCCACACCTCTCCCTGAAGCACGCTGCTTCCCGGCAGGACCTATGGGCCACAGGGCTGAAAAAAGATTGTTGCTGGACACAAAGCAAAGGCCTGCTACCAGAAGGGTGGGCAAACGGATGGAGGCGTGGATGAATGAGTGGGTGGATGGAGGGATGGATGGAAGGAGGGATGGACGGATGGAAGGACAGCAGTCTGTGGGCAGTGCCCCTTGCCCTGCAGTCCTTGTTCCCCCTAGACAGACCTCCCCTCCCTCAGTCTCCATCAGCGATGTTGAGACGGTGCGGGAAGGACACCAGTCAGAGGTGCTGCAGAGCCTGGCCGAGGAGTTCCCCCCTGAGCGCTGCTTCACCATCGTCTTTTATGGCCGCCGGGGCAACCTGGATCTCATCGCCAGCTCAGCCGAGGAGGCGCAGTGCTGGATCCAGGGCCTGCGCCAGCTCATTCAGGTGGCCACCAGCATGGACCAGAGGGAGAAGATAGACCAATATCCTTCCAATGGGCACCACTCTGGCCACTCTCTCCAATTCCTGCCCTCCCTACCTGGTCCTGCCTCCATCTCCTGCCACCCCCTAGGCCCTGCATCTCCAGCCCCAGTGTGTGCTTGGCTCCTCTGGGTCTCACCCTCTGCACCGTGGTGTGGAGAGCCACAGCAAAAGGAAAAGAGGCCCTTTGATGTTCCCCAGCTCCTTCTGTCTCAGCCCCCAAGGTCCTTTTCCTTAGCATCTGCCCCGGGGCCTTGCACATGGATTCGTGACTGGTTTCAGAAGGCTGACAAGAATAAGGATGGGCGCATGAACTTCAAGGAGGTGCAGCACCTCCTGAAGATGATGAACGTGGACATGAATGAGGACCACGCCCTGCGGCTCTTCCAGGTAAGCATGAAGGAGAAGGGCTAGAAGGCTGCAGCAGGCTGTACAACCCCTCTTCCCTGCAGAAGTATGAGATCACTTTCTTCCACCCACCCATCCATCCACCTATGCATCAACCCGCCCGGCCATCAACCCACCCATACATCCTTCTGCCCACCCATACATTTATTTGTCTAGCTAACTACCTGTTTTTCTGTCCACCCAGCCAAAGTCATCTGTTCATTCATCTGTCAACCCAACCAAACAGGCAGCTGCCTATCCGTCCATCCAGCCATCCATCCATTCCTCAATTCATCCATCTGTTTATCAAATTTTCCATCCATCCTTCCATCCATCTGTCCATTTATGTGTCCACCCATCCAGCCCTCCACCTGCCTTTGCATCCAGGGATCCATCCATCTTTTTATCCATCAGTCAGTGTCTACCACTGCTGCTGGGTCTCCGTGCCCTCTGCTGGGGAGCAGAGAAGACATGCTGCAGAGGGGGTGGGCAAAGCCCACTGTGTCCCCGCAGAGAGGCGAGGGTGCCCTGCATTGCCCTGGCAGGGTGCTGAGTGAGTTCCTGTGCAGGCTGCCGACAAGTCAGAGTCGGGGACGCTGGAAGGGGAGGAGTTCGTGCTCTTCTACAAGGCTCTCACACAGCGTGAGGAGGTGCTGAGCCTCTTCCAGGACTTCTCGGAGGATGGGAAGAAATTGACGCTTCTGGAGCTGGTGGATTTCCTGCAGCAGGAGCAGCTGGAGGATGAGGGCACGGAGGAGCTCGCCATGGAGCTCATTGACAAGTATGAGCCATCGGAGACAGGTGAGAGACAGCTCCTGGGCCCGCAAGCCCTGCTAGTACCCAGTGTGCCAGGCCATGGGCATCCCTGCCCAGAAAAGGGCTGTAATTTGCTCTTGGGAAAGGAGAGGGCTAAGAGACCTGCAGCCCTGGGGTGGGCTAGTGAGCACAGGGATAGGGCTCACCACTGTCCTGGGTGTGAATTGGGTGTGATTCCCCTTTCTTTGGTCCATTCCTGTGGGACAGGTTGGCCAGACCTGGGCTGCCTCGTGCAGAGCCAGCTGGGGCCTCCCAGCAGCCCTGGGGTGCCACGCTCGGGATCTGGGCACCATTGCCCACCCTCCTACGACTGCTCCCCTGGGCACCCCTGTCTCCCCTTGTGCCCCCAGCCTGCCTCCTGCAGCAGCTGTGCCTACGGGGCCCAGGACGCCAGGAGCCACCAGCAGCCCTGTTTGCCCCAACTCTGTCCCTCGGGTCCCTGGCAGTCGGTGAACTCCCCGTCTGTCTCCAGCCAGGGCTCGCCATGTGCTGAGTGCTGATGGGTTCCTCATGTACCTCTGCTCCCCGGAGGGCTCCATCTTCAACCCTCGGCATCAGGCGCTTTGGCAGGACATGCCCCAGCCGCTCTGCCACTATTTCATCTCCTCCTCTCACAACACCTACCTGATAGAGGACCAGATCCGGGGCCAGAGCAGCATTGAGGGCTACATCAGGTAAAGGGTTGTTCCCTCCCTGCTGCCCTCCCAGAAAGCCTCCTGCCCCATTGCCATGCCCCAGATAGCTCAGTGGGGAAAATCTAGCAAAGGGAGATACTTCCTTTGGCTAGGAGCTGACCTTGGGCCTTGGGCACCCAGGAGCACCCCTCCACAACGTAGCACCCCTGGACGCAGCACTCCCACCAAGGGAGTCCCTTTAGGGGACACCCAGCCCAGCTCTTCCTGCCCCACATACATCAGCATCTGCCCCCAGCAGTTGTCCCCTGTCCCCAGGACTGGCATGGTCCCTGTGGGAGGTGACACCTGCAGCCAGAGGGGGGATGCCAGGGACCCAGTGCCCTGTCCGGGCATGGGGTACCAGGGCTGCCTGCCCACCTGTAGGGCTCTGAAACGGGGCTGCCGCTGCCTGGAGGTGGATTGCTGGGACGGGCCGAACGGGGAGCCCATAGTGTACCATGGCCACACGTTCACCTCCAAGATCCCCTTCCAGGAGGTGGTGAGCACCCTGGGCAAATACGCCTTCCAGGTAGGGCACCCCTTCTCTGGGTGCTGGGGGCCCATGGTGGGGGGGGGTAAGCCATGGCTGTGGTTAGGGGCAGCGATGAGTCTCTGGAGGGGAGGAGGGCTGCAGCAGGGCTGCCCCAGGGAGGGGAAAGGAGGGTGGCTGTGGCCTTTCCCTGGGGTAGCACTGTGGGGACTGACCCACAGCCTTGCGCCGTGCCGTGCCAGGGGCCAGGGGTGCATGTGGGCACGGTCTGCTGGGGGTACCAGGGTTAGATGGAGGCTGGAAGACTCTGGGGGGTGGGTCGAGGGGTGTGATAGGGGTCCATGCCTGCGCAATCCCTTGTGAGTGCTTGCAGCTCTGCCCAACTTCAGTGAAGCTGATCTCCAGCTCCTGTCTGTGCACCTGGGCTGTGCAGTGCTTCAGAGCTCACCCCAGAGATGGCTGCGCTCACCCTGCCCCCTATCCTGGCACCGGGGGCCCAATAATGGGTAGCGGGGGCCTGTGGGGCTCTGCAGTCCCTCCAGCTAGAGGGGAGCAGCCCCACATCCCTGTGCCTCCTGAGCTTCCCCCCTTGCACATCGCTCCCCAGGCCTCAGACTACCCGGTTATCCTGTCGCTGGAGAACCACTGCAGTGTAGAGCAGCAGGATGTCCTGGCCCAGCAGCTCAAGGCCATCCTGGGGGAGCAGCTCCTCACCACCACCACTGAAGGCTCCCCGCCACCACTGATGGACGCGTCCCCACCCAGCTCCCATCCCCAGAGGTAGGTGCAGAGCACGGCCATGCTGGGCATCGCTGTCCTGGATGGGAGTGGGACGAGGAAGAGCCCCTGCTGCCCCCTCACCCACTGATCAGGTCCTACTCCAATATCTCCCTCCTGGGAACAGGAGTCCAGGGACTTCCAAGCAAAGAGGAAAGGCTTTTTCCGCCCCAGCATCATCCTGCTGTACTGGAGGAGCAGAGAGGCACACAGGGGCCTCGGGGACATCATGTACTCATATGATGCCCAGAGCTGTCCCCAAGGTTGTCTTTCTGGGCCTTGCAGAGCCAGATGGACAGAATGGGGTGGGAGCCTCCTCGTCCCAGGCTGTGGCACCTACGACCAGGTGACAGACGTGCCTGTGTGGCCTCACCTATCCCCTCCTGGATGCTGAAGAGAAGCTGGTGGTGCTAGCCCCAGGCAGTGTGGGGCCCCAGGGGACAGCGAGCCCTGTGCTGGTGAGGGGAGCCTGGCACCTCAGGGTCCCTGCATGAGGCCACCTCTCCATCCCCAACGCCATAGGAGCTGAAGCACAAGATCCTGCTAAAGGGGAAGAAGATCGGGCGGCTGGAGGACACGCTGAACGGGCTGGGGGATGAGGCGCCTGAAGTGTCTGACGAGGACAACGGGGCAGAGGCAGAGGAGGAGAAGCGGAGGGTGAAGGTGCGTGGCCGAGGCTGGGAACCAGCTGGGAGTGCTGAATGCCCTGGACATGGCTGCGGGTTGCGGTGATGTCCTGGCACCGAGGGGAAAGGCAGTGATCATAGGAGACATCACCAGGCGGGGGGGCTTCCCTTTCTGCTCCTGGCCATGCCAGCCCTGTCTTCGCACAGCATCCCTGTGGCAGCACCATACATGGCATCCCCAGCTCACTCTGTTCCTGTGGGGGCTATCAAAAGGCCACCCATGGCAGGGGACACAAGGGGCTCTGCTGCCACCCCAGCCTCCCCTGTGGCCTCTCTTGGCCAGCTGGGGCTGCCCTACGGCCCGAGGCTGGCAAAGCCCCCATCCCAGGTGAGCGCTAGAAGACGGTGCTGCCATCAGCGGGACCCGATGTGGCTCTATCTTGCAGAAGGACAGGGAGAGTCTGTCTCAGGCATTGTCCGACTGTGTCGTCTACTGCAAGAGCGTGTCTTTCCGGGGCTTCCAGGAGGCCCGCAATCATTCCCGGCCCTCCGAGATCTCCTCCTTCTCTGAAGCCAAGGCCAGGAAGCTCATCCGGGAGGCAGGTGAGGTGGAAGGGGCTTAGGCACGGGGGTGCAGACCAGGGCAGGCAGGCAGCTTCCTCAGGCGTAGGGCTGAAGTCCTTGGACACCAGGATCCCCTCCCTGTCTGGGAAAAGGGAAGGGGCTTAGGGCAGCAGGGCCATAAACGGGGTTGTTGGATCTGGCAGGCAAGAGGGGTTTAGTGGATTAGAAAGTGTGGTGGGACATCTGGGTTCCTTGGAGGGGAAAAGGAGGATAGTCAGTGCATGGATGAATGGGGCAATGGGTAGATGATGGTTGGATGGGTGGATGAACAGGTGGTTGGATGGATGAGTGGTTGGATGGATTGATGGGTAGAGAGTTAAGTAGGAGAATGGACAGTTGGATGGATGTGTGGCTGTGCTGCTGGGCAGCTCATGGTCTGAGTGGCTGTTCAAGCTGGGGAATAACTCTACAAGTGGCCCTTATGGTCCATCCCTAGGGAATGAGTTTGTCCGCCACAACGCCTGGCAGCTGACCCGCATCTACCCCAGCGGGATGCGGACTGACTCCTCCAACTACAGCCCCCAGGAGATGTGGAACGTGGGGTGCCAGATTGGTATGGCCGGGGGGTGTCAGGGCTGTGGGCTGAGGAGGTGTCTCCGGGTCCCATGCCAACGGCACCATCAACCCCCATATCGCTGTCAGCTACACCCCAGGCTGGAGCCAGTCCTGGCTGCTGGCTCTTGCCCTGCCTTTGGGAACCCAAGGGTATGTGGGCATTGATGCATGGCCCTGCGTCTCTCTGGCCACAGGGACAGGCTATTTCTTAGCCCCAAGGTAGTTCTTGCCCCCCCAGCTGCAGCAGAGCGCGGTGTCTAAAGGGCAGGCACTGGCGTGCTGGTGCCTGTGCCCTCCCAAGCTATTTCCCTGCCACGTTCCCCCAGTGGCCCTGAACTTCCAGACTGCCGGCGCAGAGATGGACCTCTATGATGGCCTCTTCAGCCAGAACGGCCACTGCGGCTACGTGCTCAAACCACCCTTCATGAGAGAGGAGGGGACTCTCTTCAACCCCAATGACCCCAGCAGCTGGGAGAGTCCTGGCCCTGTGACCCTGACGATCCAGGTATGGCACCAAGGGGAGACCCCAGGGAGTGAGGATGTGCCCAGACCACTACGCAGGTGTGCTGAGTCTTTGCCCAAATCTGGGGCTCTGGTGGTCCCACCGTTCTCGCTCCCAGTACCATGCTCTGCCACCGAAGCAGCTCTGGAGGCAGGGAGAGGGCAGCACTGGGCGTCCCAGACTGCGTCGTGTGCTCTATGCCTGGGCCAGGCAGTGTGCTGGAGCCGAGGAGCCTGCCAGCAGATCGGTTTGGCTGCTCCCCGGCTCACAGGGTCCCTATCCCCATGTGCAGGTAATCAGCGGGCAACAACTGCCCAAAGTTGCCAACAGCAAGGCTGAAGCCGTCATCGACCCTCTGGTGCGTGTAGAGATCCATGGGGTCCCCGCAGATCAGGCCCACCAGGAGACGAAGTACATTGAGAACAATGGTGAGCCCCACCACGGTATAGGGCTCGCTTTGCCTGGGGTGACCTGGCACTGCCCTGGCCCTGCCCTCCACTGCCCTCTCAGCACCTGCTCTCCCTTCCCAGGGTTTAACCCCCGCTGGGATGAGACGCTCCAGTTCCAGCTCCACGTGCCGGAGCTGGCCCTCGTCCGCTTTGTGGTGGAGGATTATGACAAGACATCCAGGAATGACTTTGTGGGCCAGTTCACTCTGGCCTTCGCCAACATCAAACCTGGTGAGCCATCATTGCCTGGTGGTGGGGAGGGGGCCGGGGCAGCACCGCAGGGGTGTTTGGGCTCAGCTGGGTGCTACAGAGCAGGGTGGGAGCCAGGGAGGGTGCAGGGCCAGCAGTGACCCAGAGCCTTACCGCCCTCCCCACAGGCTACCGCCACATCCATCTCCTCTCCAAGGACGGCACCAGCATCCCACCCTCTTCGCTCTTCGTCCACATCCGCATCACTGAGCCCCCTGGTCCCGAGCAGGAGTGAGCCCCTGGGGTGAGTGGGACCTGAATAGAAGCCATAGACCCAGCCTGGTTCTGGCCCAAGCGGCTGGGGCCCCGGAGCTGACCAGACCAGCCACCCTGCAGTCGATCCGTTTGTACTGACCCTCTGTGTCTTCGTTGCTGCTGTGCCCTGGTTCGCAGTGACCTCCAGGGGCTGGGAAAAGGCACCGAGCCTGGGACACTGCCTCCCACCCCCCCTCCCTATGCGCTCATTCAGGGTCTGTGCTGGTGCAGCCCTCTGTGCTGCTCCCCCAGAGCTCATCCCAGCCCACAGATGCAGCTCAGCCACAGGGAAGAGGAGGAATGGTGCAGGACACCCTGGCTCTGCTGTACAGGCCTGTCCCCCTCAACCGGCAGAGCAAGGCTAATGCTGAATGAACCCCAGGTCAGGGCAGAGCTGGGAGAGGGGTCAGGCCTCACTGCCCCCCATACCATAAAGCCCACCCCTGCCCATACAATTCCCAGGGACTAACCCTTCACTGTCCTTTCTATCTAAACAATGTAATAAAGAGTCTTGTGACAAGCAGACTTGGGTCTGGGCAGCAGTTTTGGAGATGGACTTGGCCTGTGTGCATGCAGGGAACAGGGCTGGTGCACTCTCTTGTGCACAAGGGACACAGGCACTTCCCTCTGCTTTGTGAGCCTGCTCCATGGCTCATGCTAGGCTCCAGGGCACCCAAGGGCATCAGGGCCTCCCTCCCTGCAGCCTTCAGCAGGGCAAGTCTACAGGGCGCAGCCTGGGAAGTGGTGGGAGTGCAGGGCTGGCTCAGTGGCACAGCACTCGCAGGAGGAAGTAGCAAGGCTAGAGGTTGCTGGACAGAGCGCCCTTTCCCCGCAGGCGCTAGGGCCTGCTTTGCCCTACTGAAGCATCCTGCCATGATGCGGCTGCTGCCCAGGGCGGCGGGAAGGGGTTTTGGCCCAGCCCTGCATCACTGGAGCACACTCAGCATGAGCCCCAGAGCCTGGTCCAGCCTGGTCAGAGGCTTCCAGGTTCCCCCAAGCACAAGGAGCCCAGGAGGGGCTTCCAGCTGAAGAGAGAAAGCCTGAGGAACAAGGACATGATGGACATCCCTTCCTGAGGGGGAGGTTCAATGAGGAGCAAAAACCAGAGCTATCTGAAGGCTCACACCACCCCAGCCCTAAGCTTGGACAGGAGCACGCAAGACAGCCCCAATAAGCAGGATTAAAAGGAGCTGAGAGATTCCTTTTATACAGCCACATATTTTACATCCCATATACATATATGCCTATACACACACATACATCACTGTAGAGGGCCTGCATTCACAGGGTCTTGAAGCAGCCAGGGCCAGGCTCAGGCCAAGGCTTCTGCCTCACTACGGGGCACCATCCTTTGCTATGGGGGAGCTCCCTTCCTGCTCTGGCCGGGGGGGCCCCTTGGCATGGTTCTCCATCTGCACATCGTGGAGGTGGACGGTAGGCGTGCTGGGATCCTTGCCCACCCCCTGGCTCAGATCATCAGACCCGTGCTCAGGGTGGTGCCGCTGGATGTGTTTGATGACCTGGAACTTCTGCTTGGCCTTGTAGGGGCAGTAGCGGCAGAAGAAAGGGTGCTCGTTGGTGTGGGTGAGGTAATGGTGGCGCAGGCCGGCTGCCCAGCGGAAAGCCCGCCCGCAGGCATTGCAGACGTATGGCTTCTCCTCGCTGTGCTTCTTCAGATGGGTCTTGAGCAGGAAGCGGGTCTTGAAGGCCTTGCCGCACTGCTCGCAGATGAAGGATCGGGCCTCCCGGTGCCGCGTCTCCTTGTGCACCCGCAGCGCATCCGCCCGGTTTGTGCGGTACTCACACTCATCGCAGCGGTACGGCTTCAGGCCTGTGGCAACGGGAAGGGGCTGACACCAGGGCTGGAGGGATGGTGCCCTCCCATGCATGGCCCCTCTGCAAGCCTCGTGCTGCCCCATAACAGAGCATCAGTCCCCAAAGGACCCCTGGACCTTGTCCGTGGCGCTGGAAGGCACAGCCTGTCTGCCCCCCGTGCAAGAGCACCCCAGGACCCCTCATTTCCAAGGTACTGTGTGGCCCCTAGGGTCTGCATCACCCAGCCTTTCCTCCTACTGCCTTCCTCACCCAGGGCTGCAGCTCCAGGGAACTGGGCAGTGTGGCAGGATGTCCTGCCCTGCTGGGGGTCTGGCCACTGCCTTCCTCCTCCCCCAGCTGGGTCACTAGTACTGGGGAAGCACAGAGGTGCTGTCTGCACAGCACCACAGCCCTTCCTGAGCCACCAGGGCTGGCAGCGCACCATGGCCCATCCCTGCCAGCCACGCTCACCTGTGTGCTTCGTCATGTGGTACTTGAGCTGATTCACCCACTTGCACTTGTAGCCGCAGTCCGGGCACAGGTATTTCCGTTCCTCCTTGTGGATCCGCATGTGGTACTGGGCACAGGGATGCCAAGGACATGGTCAAGCTTGTGCTCTGGGGCAGCCTCGTGCGTATAACCCACCCCACTGCCCCAGCTTAGTGCCACAGGGCATCCTCTAGGAACCCTACCCCTCTGGTCAGGGTGAGGCCATGCCATCCTCCCTGCGAATACACAGGGCTCTGGGATGCTAGTGAGCAGCTTACAGCTGGGACTGACATCTCAAACTGCAAGGGACAAGAAGGGAAATCAGGTAGCCTGACAGACTATGGCAGAGATCCACAGCAGGGCCAGGACAAGACCTTGGTACTGCTGAGTTTGCTCTGTTCCAGCATATGGAGAACACAGGCTTCTCTCCCTAGTCTGGTATTCAAGGTAAAGTCCAGGTTCAAAAGCAGCCCAACACAGCCCAAGGTTTGCTGCAGGCTGTGGCTCTGGCCACTCTTGAGCAGAGTGCTTCAGGGCAGCCTCATCCAAGCAGCCCCAGAAGGCTCCAGCTCAGCCTGGCCATTAAAAAAGAAGTCAATATTTCTTTTAGCAAAACAGACCATTTTCTTTCCATTACCTCACACCTGGCTCCCCTGTTCTAGAAAAGGCCCTTTGCTGTGCGAGAGGATAATCACCTACAAAGCAGAGCAGATGCAACCACTGGCTCTCAGCACCACACTGCCCTGCAGAGGTACTGTCTCTAGAAATGTGGGAAAGGACTGGCCTCTGCTCACAGGGGAGCTGAGCTTTCCCTGAACCACGTCTAGGCTGGCACCACAGGGCGTATTGCAAGCCAGCAGGCAGCCACACTTGGCTTTAAGTGGTGACAGGCTGCCCTATGACGCAGCTGGTTGCACCCAAAGGACACTAGAGATGTCAGCAGGGAGAGGACTGAGCTCACACAGGAGCCGATATTCTTGCCTTGCCACAAATCCCCCTTCCCCTTTACCAGGAACAGCAGGGAGAAGACATGTCTTTTCTGCTTGCCTCCTACTCCTGTTCCTTGCCTCCTAGTCCTATTCCCCTGAGGGAAAACTTTGCCCTGCAAGTTTTTTCTTCTTCCCCAAATCCCTGTGCCTGTATCCCCCTGAACTCACATAGATGTAGCAGCATGTGTCCCTCTCATCCCCAAGCAGGGCTCTCACCTTGAGACGTGAGGGGTCAGCACAGGCGTATTTACAGAGGTGGCATTTGTAGGGCTTCTCACCAGTGTGGATGCGGATGTGCCATGTGATCTTCTGCCTGTTCTTGGTGGTGTATTCACAGTCCGAGCACTTATACACGCGGGTACCCCCATGGCCCTTCATGTGCTGGTCAAAGACGAGCTGGTGGCAGCAGGCAAAGTCACAGAAGGGGCATCGCAGGGGTTTATCCTGGGCAGCAGCGGGCTCGTGGGTCTCCACGTAATGCCTCACCAGCTGCTGCCGTTCTTTGGCCGCAAAGCTGCAGAGCTCACAGCGGTGGCTGAAATGCTGCTTCTTGTGCTCCTCCAGAGCGTCCCGGGTGGCAAAGGTCTCTTTGCAGGTGCTGCACTCCAGGTGCGGGTGCTGCTTCTGCACGTGGCACTTGAGGGTGGCCTCGCTGTGGCACACAAAGCCGCAGTGCGGGCAGCCATAGGACACTTTCTCCTCATGCCGTCGCAAGACGTGCTGCTTGAGGGCCGTCTCAGAGCTGAAGCGGGCCTCGCAGCGCGAGCAGCCGAAGTTGAGCTCGCCACAGTGGCAGCTGTTCACGTGGCGGGTGATGTCGTTCTGCAGGTAGCTGCTGTAGTCGCAGAGCGGGCAGAAGTGGGTGGGTGTCTTCTCGTGCACCCGCAGGCGGTGGATGCGCAGCTTGGAGTTGGTGCCGAAGGTCTGGCTGCAAATGCCGCAGGCGATGCGCCCCACGCCGGTGTGCAGGGACTGATGGGCCTCCAGGCGGTACCGCCGTGTGGTGCTGAACTCACAGTAATGACATTTGTGCGGCTTCACACCCTCGTGCTTGATGCGGACATGCTGCCGCAGGCACCGGGCCTGCTTGCAAGTGAACTCGCACTGGCGGCACTGCAGCTGTGGCCGCTTGCTGTAGTGCTTGCGGTGCAGCCGCAGGGTCTTGGCCACCTTGGAGGTGAAGGGGCAGGAGGCAGAGCGAAACTCGCCCAGTGTCACGCAGCCCCTCTTCTTGTGCGTCTTCATAGCCCGCTCCTGGTGGCAGGTGAAGGGGCAGGTGGGGCAAGAGAAACGCCTCCTCTTGGGAAACGTAGCTCTCAAGGGAGCTACGTCCATCGGGGGCTCACTGGGCTGGCCTGTCTCACCGCGAGCTGGTCCCCCCTCAAGGGGCTTGGTGCTCTGGCATCTATCCTCCTCAGGATGCACAACGTGCTTCTCAGTGTGGTGGCTCTTCAGGGCCCGCCGAGAGCGGAAGGCCGCAGGGCACAGGGAGCACCAGAACTGCTCCAGGCTCCGGCACCCATCCTCCACGTGGGAGGTGATAGTGGAGACACGGGAGCACACGAAGGAGCAAGCATTGCAGCGCAGCTTCCCTCCCTCCAGGCGGTATTTCTCAGAGGCTTTCCCAGGCTGGGAGGGACAAGCAGCTCCACCTGGCTCAGGTGGGTCCTCTTGCTGTGAAGGCTCTTCCACCATGCCCATACTGTCATCTGGGAGGGATTTCTCAGGGGCAGGATTGCCTGAAGCCGGTTTCTTGGCTAGGGGACTGCCTGATGCCTGTGTTTTATCAGGTAGCAGTTCCACTTCCCACAGGGTTTCTGGATGCGCAGACTCCTCCAAGCTTCCCCTATCGCTCTCTGATGTTTCTGGACCATTGTCACCAGGCTGGCTGGCAGGTTGGCACAACCCAGGCAGCTCCTGAACAGCTGCTTTGA